TTGTAAGTGAGTCAAAGGAATGAAACACTAATGAGACGTTTGTTTTGTTGTACCTTATATTAAAGAGAAAGAGTTTTATTTTTTGGGGTACATTTATATCAAGAGTTCTTGTTTGGACATGTGCAAGACTATGGGCCACTGCTGAATGTACCTCTAAAACTGTTGTTTCTCTATGATAATGAAGTTATGATGTTGATGTTATGGCAGAATTTTTTTATCTAAGAACATGTATCTAGATAAGTAGTTTGGAGTAGTATCTTGCCCTGTAAGGGTGTTATATGTCACATGTGATTTTTGTGACAAAACTATAATTAGTGGGATTACCTGAGCGAAGAGACATCAAATGGGAGTGTGGGAGATATTAATTCTTGTAAGAAAATCCCATCCAAAATTAAAAATTTGATTAAGGAAACCTTTGAGAAGGAAAAGGCAAAAAAGGATTCATACATGGTTGAGTTGCAACTTGTAAAAAGATAAGGAGGAGGAAGAAATGCAAAAAAGTTCTAAATATTCAAAGTGCAAAAAGAACAGAGGCAGCATCAAGTGGTACCTCTTTCAATGCTGCCAAGAAAGACAGAAGTGTCAAAGGCCGCATGGATTTACTTCATCTTAGAAATCCAGAAGCAACTATTAAATTTGCGAGGCAAACAAGCATAAATGATGCTTGCGATAAAGCAAGAGTTGGAACTATTCAGTATAAAACTTGGTGTTTTGTAGGGATAAAATATCTTTCAATGCCTAATAAAAGGAAACAAAATAAAAACTAACTAATTAATTGTAGACACACAATCACTAAAATTACAAAATCTATTTCCTAAAATAGAAGATACTAACATATTATTCAACACTCCCTCTCAAGGTGGGGCATATAAATCATACACACCAAGATTGTCACAAATGTAATGAATTTGAGGACCACTTAACAACTTTGTGAGAATATCAACTAGCTGATCACTAGAGTTGACAAATTCAATGATGACTTCTTTGGAAAAAAGTTCCTCTCTAATAAAGTGACAATATATGCTTGGTCCTAACATGGAAAACTGAATTTAATGCAATGTGTAAAGCAGCTTGATTATCACAGTATAGTTTTATACGCTCAATGTTTCCAAACTTCAACTCACCAAGTAACAGTTTTACCCATATAAGTTCACAAGTGAGCATTGCCATGACTCTATACTCGGCTTCTGCACTAGACCGAGCCACCACATTCTGCATCTTGCTTTTCCATAAGATAACATTACCCCTAATAAAAACACAGTATCCTAAAGTAGATCTCTTGTCCATGGAGAACCAGCCTAGTCAGCATCAAAGTATCCCACTCCTTGAGTATTACCATTGTCTTCGTACATCAATCCTTGACTCGAAGCATTTTAATATATCATAAGATTCGTACCACAACATTCCAATGATCAACACATGGAGATTGCATGAATTGCTTACTATACTAATTGCAAAAGAGATGTTTGGTCTAGTTAGGGTAAGATAGTTGAGTTTACCAACCAACCTCCGATACCTGTCGAGATCTGAATATGGCTATCCTTCTGGTAATAGTTTATTGTTTGGATCCATAGGATTGTCAATAAGTTTGCAGTCTGTCATACTAGTTTCTTCCAATATATCTGTAGCTCAGCAGAATCCGACGGTCCTTTTTGAAACTTGTAGATCGGCTCCTTCTGTTTCGAATGGTGCGGATCTTGGCCGGAAATGTCGCAGGAAAAATTTTCCGACGGTGGCTGACGGCGGTGGAAAGCTGGGATTTTGCCTTCTACAGTGATTGGTAGCCTTACTTTGCTCTTGGGACTTTGTAGGAAGGGAAAATAACCTTAATAATGGTTGGAGGTTGAGTTTTCCGGCGTTGTGCCGCCGGTTTGTCGGTGGTTGTGGTGGCTGAGTTTTCTCAGGACCAACCTGCTCTGATACCATGTAAAGAACCTTGGAATACACCACCCATTGAGCTAGTGCCCAAGGCCTTATAAAGGCTACATTAGTTGCTCATACAACCAATGTGGGACTATATATCTCAACACGCCCCCTCACACAAGAGCCCATTGGGCTTGAAGAGTGGACAATGCAACAGGCTCAGCCTACCTGTGCTAAGAAATGCCACAAGAGAAAGCGGGGGGCAGCGAGGCTCTGATACCATGTAAAGAACCTTGGGATACACCACCCCAAAAGCTAGCTCAAAGGGTGGGAGTGCCCAAGGCCTTATAAAGGCTACATTAGTTGCTCATACAACCAATGTGGGACTATATATCTCAACAATATCCAAAGCATATTTTCACTGTGAAACCACAATACCATTCTTTGATTAAGCTACCTCAAGACCAAAAGCCTACCCAAGTCTTTGGTCTGAAAGTGTCTAAGCAGATGCTCCTTCAATTAAGATATTCCATCATGATCACTACCTATAATAACTATATCATCACCAAAAACTATAAAATAAATGCATTGACCAAATAGATTATGTCAAAAGAAGACTGATCATCAGCTTCACTCCGCGTTAGCCCAAATTCCAACACCACCATACTAAACTTACCAAACCAAACTCGGGGAGACCGTTTCAACCCATAAAGAGACCATTTCAACTTACAAACAAAGCCTGACTCCCCCTGAGCAACAACAGGTGGTTGCTCAATATAAATATCTTCTTCAAGGTCATCATAAAGGAAAGCATTTTTAATTTTCAGTTGATACAATGGCCCATGTCCAATGACTGCCTTGGTAAGAAAGATGGGAACTAACGCCATTTTGGCCATCAGAGAGAATGTGTCACCGTAATCAAGACCGTAATCAAGACTATAAGCCGTAGTGTAACCTTTTGCAACAAGACGAGCTTTGAGACGATCAATATGACCATGAGCCTACCTTGATAGCAAAAACCAACGACACCCAACAATCTTATTTCCTTGGGGAAGAGAAACCAACTCCCATGTGCCACTATGCTCAAGGGCATTAATCTCATCAAACATGGACTACCACCAACCAACATGTGAAAGGGCCTTACCTAAAATGTTAGTAAGCTAAATTAAAGATAAGGAAGAGACAAAAGCATAATATGATGGAGACAAACGATGAAAACGAAAAAAGTTATAAATAGAATAAGGATTGCGAGTGGATCGAATACCTTTCTCGAACGGCAATAGGAAAATTATCAACAGGGTCACATTGATAAAAAAAAATTGTGTATTAAAGTAATAAAAAAGGTGGGGAAGCCATGGCTTAAGATCATAGAAAAGTTTTGATTCCATGATAGAAATTGTGCTCAGGTAAGAAAATGGTAGAAAGTGAGAGAAAGGAGCGAGAGAGTGTTGGAGAGTTAGTGATCTTAAATCTGAAAATTGTGAAAATCACTCTACACTAGTTGGGTTTGTTGCATTTATAGTGAATTCAAAACTAACTTCTCGTGACAGAATCTGCCTCGGCATCTTAACAGAATCTGCCTAAGCCAACTAATTAAGCTAACTGTAATGAGACTAACAACTAACATAATACAAGTCATGTGTGTGCCTCTCCAACTATCCATTTAACCCCACATTTGGCTCAAAAGCATCCAACTCTTCAGTTCCTAAGCAAATATGTTCTTTTAACCAAAAAAATTCAACAACTAAACTATTGCTTGTCTTCCCATTCACTAGTACAAAAAGCATAGCAGAAAGAGGCAAAATTAAATTTATCAAAAACCAAAACACTTTCTCTAAAGGACTTTGTCAAAGAATTCCCAAATGACATGGTCATAAGATTTCATGAAATCCATATTAAAGATTACTTGTTCAACCTCCTTATCACATCATCTACCACCTCATTGGCAAGAAAAGCAGCATCCAAGATTTGCCTACCTACAGTTAAATCACTTTGGGTGTCTGCAATAGTATTTGACAGAATATCATTCAAGCCAGGAAATAGAACCTTTCTAATAAGTTTATAGCCTTATAAACACTGTAAACCAAGCTAATGGGCTTATTATACTTAATCCTGTTAGACCTACCCTTCTTGAGAACAAGAGTGATAAGAGTATTATAACTCATGTCCTCCCCAGTCTTTCTATTACGATGAATCTCAGCAAGGCCTACATAATTACATGGCATGAAACAAAGTCTTCTGTATCATAGCAAAATATGTTCCATAGCAAAAGCCACAGCAATTATGGCATTACCAAAATATCTATCACATTAAGTTAGAACTAATATAGCACATGATAATTTATTCTCTCTCTCCATTCACCTATTACACAAGGATGTACATATATGTACATACATATGTTTGTATGCAGAGATCGTAAAATCATATTTGGCCAAATACAATAAAAAAAACACGGTAAGAGTTGAAGGATTTGGATCTCTTCTAGCCTTTAAGTTACTATTTATTTTTTTTCTGAAACAGAAGTTTTAGAATAAACACATTCCTCCTTTGACAAGTTGTCCCGTTGGTGGTCATCCCTCACCAGGTAAATCCCCAGGAGCCCAGGGACTAGCCCCCACAACCCTCAGGGTGGGCCCCTTTAGGGACATTAGAGTAACATATTCTTACTATCATTTTTCCTTACCCCAAAGAGAGAGAGCTAAAGAGAGAATAACCACATGCCATGTTTAAAAGATCTAAAGATTTTGCAGATATTTTCAACCTTGTAAAATGCCCATGGAAACCATTAAGCACTACTTAGAAGCAAAAGGGAAGATGAGAATTAAGACATGGCTTTATCATAAACTTAAATGTCTTAGAGGAAACCCTAGGGAGCCACAGTCCACACTCACTAGTCTACTTCACTGTGCCTCCATAATGTCACTAATTCCCCCACCCAACCCATTAAAATCACTGTCTGTGAAAATTACATGAACCAAAACCACAAAAAAAAAAAAAAAAAAACCAAAAACAAAAACAAAAATCAGAATTACAATATGAAAGCAAAAACTAACAATCGGCAATCAGTGGAATCAATGCACAGAGAGTTTTTACTAGGAGGCCTTCAGATTAATAATCGGCAAACAAGACATTATTACCAGAAGAGTAGAGACGGCGAGCTGCAGCTGCCACGATGAACCCTGACGTTTGACGGTGAATTTGCGAAGATCCATTTCCCTCCCTCCCATTCAGAAACTATTCATTGCAAAGCACAAGTTTATAAACTAGTGTCTATGGACTATCGAACCCGCCTGGAAAGCCGATGGGCCCAAATTTATGCAGACAAATCGAAAGCCTGACTTCCTAGAAAAAATAGAAAAAGAAAAATGAATTAAGAAATAATTTAATTATTTATTTATTTATTATTTTATTTTCTCTCAGTTTTTGTAAGGAAAAAGTTAAAAAAAAAATTGTGTGATTAATTTTTTATTACTTATTTTTTATGATTTTTTATATCACTTACCTCCCCTGTAATTTTTCTTTTCATCCAAATTCCTTGTTAACTTTGTTAAAATTAAACTAACTTACCCATTTTATCCATATTTTGCCCATCATAAACTTTAATTCATCGTAAATATCTTGGCCACCGTGTAGGAGCTTTTCGTCATGCAACTATTTCCTCCATTAGTAATCTCCACACATGCATAATCAATCCAAGAACAGCGGCCGACAAATGATTATGCAACTCTCATTTTAAAATCTAATGACTTGCCTCAAAAATTAGTTTTTTTATACAAATTGGGTTTCTCCTAATAATCTTAGGGGGCGTTTGTTTCGGGAGATCGATCAAGTTTCCTGGGGAAGTGATTCGTGGATTCTCATAACTCCACGTTTGGTTCGCTGGATTCATGAAATATATCCATCTTTCGTTGTTCCCCATCTTTCGGCAATTGCATGTGATTTTTGTGAAAAAGCACTGTTGAGGATTGCATCTTGAAGGGTCGTATTATGGCAGAAAACCGGAGAAGTGAAAAAGTGGTATAATTCGGTGACGAATTTACCCCTCACACAATGTTTGCCCAAAACGATACATCACTGATCCAGCTTGCATATGTTGTGAAAGCTGAAGAAGACCGAGCGAAGAAAACCAGAGATAGGAGGTCAGGTACGATTTTCATGTTGGTACGATTTTAAAGACTCAAAATTTTCGTCTTGAAATCTGAACTGATACCTATAAAAAAATTCACTTTTTCATTTGTTTCGTCTCTGTCTTCCGATTCTGAAGTTTGAATCCTTTGTTTCGTTGCTAAGAAGCTCCAGCCTCCAACCAACTGGTACCTTACTTATCGGTATTTGTCTTGCCTCCTATAAGGTTTGCATGTGCATTTTGAATATTGTCCAAGGGGGGTTTAGTGGATTTTCATTTTTTTTTAAATGTAATATATGGTTTCCATTTTCCACTGCGTTCCTGCTGAGCATTTCGTGTAGTGATTTGTAGGTTGTTGGTGTGACAAGTGATTTGGGTTTCATATACTGAAGTTGGAGTTGTGGAAGCTGTTGAAGGATTTGTGTTTTTGCTATCTCCATAATCGACAAGCGAGATAAAAGGAGAATCAGTTAACGAATTTAATTCCTATTTTTTTGACTTGTTTAATATTGTGCTAAATGCTAATGACTTGAAAACTTCATATTTGAGTTGTGGTTCGAAATAATTTATGTTTGGATATTTGACTTTTTTTATAGTCTCTGTTCATCTGAAGCTTAGGTGTTGTGCTCATTATATTTCCACCCCAACTTCGACTCATTATGGAAAAAAATTAGTGTCTAGTTATTTGATCTTGTTCATCGATCATGCATGTTCAAAGGGTAGAAGTTAGTTATGTTGATATGTTTGAATCCTTGTTATCCCATGGACAACTGTAGCTTTAGGGAATGATTCTATGTGACGATTTGTGGAGATAGTTGGTTACTAATAAACAAGGAATGGACTGAAACACTCTATTCTCTTCCCAACCCCCAAAAATAACAGAGCTTAACTATACGAAAGAAGATAAACATTAACAAGAGTTAATTTGACATAAATGTCAAGTAGTGATATAACATGCATTCTAAGAGGAGACAAAACGGCATGAGGTTCAGGCAATATATGAATTCGTGGAATGTTTCATTCCATTTCGTGTGCACTTTTGATTTGATTTATATAGATACTTTCTGTTCAAATCTGATTTCATTCATAGTAGCAAATGACAGGCACGTAAGAAACCCATAAGTAAGCTAAGGTAAAGGTTGAGCCAATGATAACCTTTTTAAATGCTATTAAGGGACACCAATCTTTATTGAGTAAATGTTAAGTCAGTGAGCTATAGACTTTTTGGAGACCACTGGATGTATATGGGTGGTGTATGAGACTATTTTGTGATTTACATTACTATGGCTATGTACTGCAACTTCACATAATGAAGTAACTTTTTTTGAAGTCTGCTATATGATTCACATCTCAAATGTGTTTTTGGACAGACGCTTCATGAAATGGGTTTTTGGAGATGCTATATGATTCACATCTCATATTGTAAGGCTAACTGGTACAAAACAATCCAACCAGGTTTGATTTTATCCATTTATCTTTGTAAGCCGTGTACTTTTATGCAAGGTCATACCTAATTACTTATGCATTTATCTTTGTGTTTTATGAAGCTGAACAGGTGACCTCTGAATGATAACTTTCATCCGGAAGTAGCAGGTAGATTCAGGAGGATTCATGCACGTGATTGATTTGCATCAGCATGTGATTTGTCAGTTGGCTGCGGATATGCACATGGACCTACATGACTGATTTGGATATGTAGCTTTCAGAAGTGCTATAACATGCATGTCCAGAGTTTTTGTATATATGTATATTGACTTAGTTTTCTGGTGTGATTGAGCCATATACGAATGGTTCAAGTCAAAGTTTTTGTATACCATTTCATGTCCCTGTCATATGTATTTCTGTTGAATCAAGTGAATGGAAAATTATTAATGCAGTTATTTTAATTTCATGCCTATTTGGAACTAGTCGAGAGTTTTTTCATGTACGGTTGTTATCCACACAACTGAATCACTCATGTGTGCCTCAGTGCCCCTATGCTTGCTTAATGTTTACTCACACAGATAACCCAGTACATAATGTTGTTCTCACTAATGCAGATATGGATCACATCTCAAATGGGTGTGTAATATAGTTCTTTCTCAAAATTACAGTGTATTTGTATAATGTTATTTTTTCGGTGGATGCATTCCTAATGAATGATGTTCAACACACGTGTTTCACATCAAGGCTGAATACTAATTAAGACACAAATTAAAAGATATTATAAACTAAAAGCACAAACCAATATTGGGAAGAGACAAAATGATATCCACTGGATATATACAAAATTGTTATGTATATATTACTTGGTCAATTGACATTGGCATGTGTAACAGACAACCAGATACAAAGCAAATAATGGATAAAATAAGGAATAGTTTTTCCAGTTTTTACATTCAACCAACAACTGACATATTTGTAAGTAATAAGGAATTCGAAGGAAACAATAACCAGCTACAACCCAGTGCTTTTAGGAGAGGCTATAGTTCTCTCCCAAATTCCCAATTCCTAAATTACTCAGATTCTCCAATGACCCTCCCTTTCCTCAGCTACAACATCTTGCCTTACATCTTGCATGCCTCATGTGGGGTGGATGAGCTGCTTTTTGTATTCTTCATTCTCCATTTTTGTATTCTTCATTCGCAACCATTTATGTATTCTTCATTTGCAACAATTTTTGGGGAGATGCTTTTGTCTTCATTCTTCATGGTGAGGGGAGCAGCGTGTGAAAGTGGTGGTGGAGGAGCTATTGGCAACTTAATACAAGGAATGATATGTTCTTTTGTTCCAGTCTTCTCTTCTGAAGAGTTGTTCAGACCCTGGTAAAAAAATTTTGATTTCACATTGCGTCCACTTCCCTGCACATAACAGATAGGATAATATAGACATCATGATACTGAAAAAAGAATAAATATTCATGGACAAGAGGAAAATGCATATTTTGCATACAATGTTCTTAATTTGAAGGATAAGAGTATCATGGTTCTTTAAAGATGTAATAATCTGAGGAAATTTGCTGGTAATCTTGTTCCATCTCTTGTGTAGTTTTCTTTTTGATCACTTATCTTCACAAAAATTTAGGAAAAGACATGGTTTCAATTTTTAAAATACACATCATCTAAACCTTCAACCTCCATGTCAATGTGAAGCTAAAAAGATTGTGCATATATTGCCAGGTTATGCAGATGATGACATAGACAATAAAAATAGTAAATCATACGAATGGTAGATGGAGGATACTTGATATGATCATGCAAGGCAGCTTGGAAGTCATAACCCTATATGTTCTTTCTCGGAATCACAATCCAATAAAAGGATGCCGAAGGCGACCCCCTGCATAATTGAATTTTTATAAAGACCAACCATAATAAGTGATAACAAATAGATTGAACAAAAAAAGTAAAATATATTTTTCATAATAAGGGGTCAAAACTCAACAGTCTTTCACATTTTGGGATTTTAAGAATTTGTCAACTTTTGAGACCATTTCTGCAATGAGCTAATATTTGAGACTAATTGGTCATACAACCAACGTGTTCAATTAATTGGGTAAGGAAGTGAGTTATAAACAATACTTAATTTGGATAAGGATGTTAATTAAGGTATCAAGTGACTGAGGTGATACTGTACATTCATGATGAGATAAAGAGTCGATAAAGGATAACTTTATTTGGTAGCAACCTCTCCCACCCTTTAACAGATTCTCATGAGCTACCTCACCATCACCACTGGGTTCTGAGGAAGAAGTTATGATAGAAACTCATTATCCTCAAATATTAATTTTGTCTAACTTGTCATACATTGCTTACCTAATTGAATCATCATTCTTTCATGAGATGGCACAGAGACGTTGTGGTAGAGGTGAAATTGGAACCACACACGGAGACTGAGACAAAGTGGGAGAGAGACAGAGATGGCAAAAATAACCAGAAAAAGACGTTGTGGATATTGCGTTGGGTGTTTGTAAAATAAAGGGTTATTTCTAAAAGGGTTATTTTATAATTTTACTAAATTTACCCATCAATATTTTATCTTCAACCAAACACACATCCAGGAATTTCACATAATTTTTATGGTAAAATTTTACTCAACCAAACAACTTTTTTTACATTTTCCTATCAAACCCACTTTCCAACCACTTTCCTATCAATTATATTTCCCTACTATTCAAAAAAATTCTCCTCAACCAAACGCCCCCTTATATATAAACTCAAACCCGAGTATCTAAAATCACAAATCTAACATTATAGATAAATAATTAAAGGGAAAAGTCTATATTATTTTAAAAAATATAAAGTTGTGTCCTTTTAAGTGAGAGAAAAAAATAGATCATGGGAGAGAGTGAAGGGAAAAAGTTTTAAAGATATGAGTCTCACCTCTTTGTGAGAGTGAAAGAATGTAAGGTGTGTCATTTAAAATGACACACCTTTTTACCATAATTAAAAGGGGATTAAAAGAGCAAAAATGGCTAAATTTATGAGCATTTGCTTTGTTTTTATTTACATTTCTTTCTTGTAATTTCACTTATAGTTGAAAGTAGACTAACACTAACAGGTAGATCTTCAATTACCCTTATGATTAATAATACATTTTAGTGTTATGTTGGTCTTGTTCTAGCCAGCCCAGTTAACTGGCTCAAGGTCAGAGGCCTAATACCATCGCCCCACACTTGTGCTACCACAGTGTTAGTACCCAAACATAAGACACAGGATGTCAGATATCCAAATGTAAGACATAATATGCCTTACGTTTGAATATCCCTTTTACTTTTCTCATGCACAGTTGTCACTGCATGCTGACAATAGCTGCAAGATACCTTGCCCCAGCAAGGCTGGGCTACAGTGGCTCTGGCCCAAACTCGTTGACTTGGCTCCCTCTCCATATTGGTGGGGCTCAACCCTACCTATAAATACCCCATTTTTACTAAGAACACATATTATTCACCTTTTGCATGAACTGTTACACTGTTAGTTCAGAGAACCACCTTAGCTGTATTACACCCTTCCCTTTGATATAGCACCTGGAAATGTGTATAATGCCTTAGTTCATACTATTGCTACTTAAGGATACTCCTAAAGAGATATACTTCGCCCTCCAAGGGATACATACTCATTTATCTAACACTACACACAATTCGTTGTCGCCATTTGTGGGAAACAATAAACTCTTATTCCCATTTCCCTAATAGAAGCTACATAACGACAAATAGGACCTTTTCCTTCAATAACCACGAAGATGGTCCAAACTAGAAGAACGAACCAACCAAGGGCAGCTACTCTTTTCCAAACCCTACACGAAGATTCTGTGCTGTTAGTTCCTGTTGGGTGGTTTGCTGATGGTGGAAATTATATATTCTGATAAGGGACGTTCCTCTGTTCTAAGTTAGCAACATAAAACAAGGTTGTTCCCTCACTTCCAACCTAAGTGCGCAAGTGCACGCATCAAGTAATAATGGGCGTATTAAGGCCCAGATTATCGTTCCCACGAGGATAGAACTCTAAATATTGTCTTAAACTATTTTAAAAGGAATGAAAATGAGAAGAAAAGTTAGTGAATGAACTGTCTGGTCAAACGTTCTCCACTGTCTTGACAACGTTTCTCAGGAACAGTAAGTTCAGTCTGATGCAAACAATTGCTCGTTGCGTTATGTATGTGATACTTCTTGTTTAGAAGAAGGTATGATAATAATCATTGGAGTTTGATAGATTCAAGATTAAACAAAGTAAAAATAAAACAATAATAATAACTATAATCAAGAGACAACAAAGTGGATGGTTTGAAAAACAGTTTAACAGAAGGAACGAATTCACTGCTACATTCTTAAACAGTTATTTCCTCTGTTCAAGACTTAGCACTTTTTGGCTTTGTCCCAGTTTCTTATCTGTCAACTCTGATTCCTCAGCTCATGGACTAGATGACTCACAAGTTTCCATATTCCTACGGCTCCCTTGACTCCAACAGGTACTTAGTACAAAACCTTCAAATGGACGAAGTGGCCCATTATTCCTAAGGTGACCAATAGTTTTTTTGCCATAACACTACCTTCTCCCAATGGCGAAGCTGTCTGAAATCCCTTCCTTAAGGAAGTTCCTTTCTCAGTATGTGTTCAATTTCCATTGATACACAATGAATATAGCTTACATAGCCAAAGAAATACAAAAATCTTCAGTCAAGAGTTTTGGAAGTAATTCTTTAAGAGTTTTACAGCTTATCCGTTCCACAGATAGTTCAGCCCATGGCTGATATTTTAAACATAATTATTCTAAACTGAAATCTCATATACCCGAGATTCAGTTCAGAGATAACGATTGGAAAGAAAAGAAGAAACACTTATATTGAAATCAAACAAGAAAGATTACAACAAAGTATAAAATGGAGAAGATGGTTTGATGCTCGTGGGGAGTCTTGATGGATGATACAGAGTAAGGAAGAAGGGTTGTCACTTAACTATAGTTAAAACTATACAAAACTAAACGACTAACTAATACTAGGTAATCTCTTCTTTTAGGACTTCAATCCCTCCAGAATTCGATGATGTCTTTGTGTTTGGGACGTCCTATTTATAGGCAGAAGAGAGAGTGGCAGTCTTGTAAATCCTTTGGAGTTGGTTTCTTGAATGAAGGGACGGGGCGGTGGCAACAGTGTTTAGAAGCTTGCAAATTGCTTGATGGGACAGTTTTTGTTGATGATTAGCCGTTTTCTTGCAGTCCCCTATGCCTTGCTTTCTTCCTAGCCAATGAGAACTCTTGATTCTCTGCTGTTCACGTTTCCTGTTGCTTAAGTGGTGTACCGCCTTGCTTTTTAGAAGACGTTGTTTTCACGTTTCCTGGAAAATGAGCAGAGCATTAAATGAAGGTAGCAGGTGTAATAAATGCTCTCAATATGTTCCCCTTTTAATATGTTTTCAAAGGAATACGTCATCATACGTTCTCCCACTGTGTTTTTGTCACAAATGTGTAAAACAAGTGATTTTCATGCTAAGTTGCTCATCATATAAGGTAACGTATGGTATTTTGCCATCAAAATGGGCCTAGACGGGAACAAATTTACGTCCCATCAAACACCCCAAAGCTAAACTGTTGGTTGTCCTCAAACAACTCAGAAATATTGTATCAGGCTGCTCAGTTTCAAAGAATAGCTCAACAGAAAGAAACTTGAGCCAGTGAGCAATCATAAGCTTTTCAAAAAATGAGCTACTCTCCATAGGTAAAAAGTAAGAAGAATTTGTTCCAAGGTAAGTGAAGGATGCAGATCTTCTGTCTCACTATCACTCAGGGTTTGGTGTTTTCTCTGTCCATTCCTAGATGTGATTCTTCAAAACTTTCTGCTGCTTTCCTATGAAGTGTAGGTGTCTTCCATTCCCAAAGATCTTTTGGTAGGTGGGTTTATGGAGGTGTGGAGGAGTGGTGGTCTTAAGTATGGGGTCAAGGAACGTTTATTTTTGCGCTTTTAAACTGGACTCTTTCTGTTTGTGGGGACACCTTTTATATTTTTTTTGTACCTTTTCTTCCATTGAAGGAATGTTTTCTGGTATTTTCTTTTGAATGGTTGTCCCTCTTTTTCTTTGTTTTTCTTCTTCTGTCCTTTTTGTCCATTTCTGGATCTGTTCCTTGTCCCTTTGTGATTGACCTGGGGGTGTGTTTGGTGATTTATAGCTAGAATGGAAGTGAGTGTGTGGTTGGCTAATCCTTGGTAGTGAAACCCATATGTTCCTCAGCAGTACTTACAGCATCAAGGCAAGTTTAGAAGTTTCATTGTGGTTACACCTCAGGAACACTCTCATAAGTATATGTTTGGCCCTTTTCCGTTCCTTACCAGCTTTAGTTCACACAGATCAGCTTCCCTAAAAAATCTGAAGATTAAATTCCCTGCAATTTTTCTATTTCAAGTACTCAGATAAAGAATAAGAATGATTAATCAGTGACTTTGTGTTTCATGTTGTTGGCTATTCAAAATTGTATTAAGGAACTGAAATGTATGTACCAAGCAGTTTGATCAAAACGTCTTTTTCATTGCAAAAAGAATATATACAAGGGAACAAAAAAGAAAAAGGAATTAAAATAAACAGTACTGAAAATAAACTAGACTTAAACAACTATGAGGGTTTTCTCCTTTTCATTGGGGGCGTCTCTTGCCCAAGGTGGTATTCTTCTGTGCATCCTCAGCTTCCTTAGCTGCCTCTTGTGTCAATGGCCTCTTTCTGAGCTGATCTCTCAGTCTTCTTACTTCAGATTCAAGGAGCCATTTCTCAGCATCCTTCAGTAGATCGTTGATTACTGCAACAAGGTAATTAATGGTGGACCTCATCATTGTTCTGCCAGTGCGAAAGTGGATAATCTGCCCTTCAACATCCGACAGCCTCATTTCCAACTCATAAATTCTCCCCTCCAAAAATGTTCCAAAGGCTTTGATGGCCTCTTTGGTTTCTTTTCTCTCTTCGGAATGTTTGAGGAGGAGCTTGCTGAGCAAGTGTTCAGCTCTGTGGTTGTGCAAGGAGTTGGAAAGTATTAGGGAGTCAGAAGCTCTTCTGATTTCTCCCTTGACAGCTTGGAATGTTGATGCATAAGAGGCATCACTGGTTTCCTGGATGGTTGTCCTAATGGTGCTAAGTTGCTGTTCTCTCTCTTCCTTCTGCTGTTCCTGGAAGTTGTTGAAGGAAGCAGAGAGTTGCTCCAATCCGTCCCTTAGAGCTTTCAGCTCTTCATTGGTGCTTGTCATATCAAGTTGGGGAAGGGATTGTTTTGCTGGCAGCAGCTTTTCTATCCTCTTCCCCATCATCTCAAAAATTTCAGCAATCCCAATTTGTGACTTCTTTTTAGTTGGGAGGGGGATTGCTGTAACAGGGGAGGAAGTTGTCTGCTTGTTTTGCTGGCTGCTGCCAACAACAGGAGGTACAACAGGTGTTGGTCTGGGCTCATCCTCTGTTTGCATAGAAACAGCCTCTGGTGGTTGAGATGATGAGGGGGCGGCTTCAGTGTGTTCCTCCATCAGTGGAGGAACTGCCAAACTTTCTTCTTCTGCCAAAGCCCTGGCAAAAGCCTCGTCCCGAGAAGTGTCGGGAAGGATAACAGGGTAAGACAAGGGACGTCCCAGATTGATTTGTCTGGGCCCTGTTGGCTTTTTCTTCTTTTCAAGGGGTTCCACCAGGATCCCCTTTCCTCTGTCAGCTTTCTTTTGTGGCTGAGCTTCTTTCTCAGCCACTGGTGTTTCTGCAGCAGGTACTGCTTCTTTTTCTGTTCTCCCCTCTCCCTGTTGTTGCCTGGAAGAGGGCTGTAGGATAGGTGGTGGTGATGAGTGAGTAGGTGGTGATGGTGGGGGCGGAACGTCAGAGAAAGTGGAGTCAGAGCTGCTTGGGGACGTCTCCTTGGCAGCGGGTTTAGATGCTGACGTTCTCCCAGCCTTCAGCCTTTTTGCCAAAGGCTCATTGTCATCACTCTCTTCTTTTCTGTCAGAGAGAGTGATGGGCTTCTCAGAGGATGCTCCCTCTGGCTTCTTGCTGCTGTTGAAGGTTCTTTTCAACCTTTAGCTCGATCGTTCCCCCTTTCTTGGGGGAGTTTTGGCAGGGGATTTCTTCTTGCCCTGTTTGCCTTCAGCAGCAACAGGGGCATCCTTCTTCACCTTGGTGGGAGGGGGAACAGTCCTTCTTGCCAGAACGTGGGCAGGAGTGGAGGATTTTGAAGGAGTGGCCTTCGTGGTTTTCTTCTGAGGGACCACAAGAGCTTCCTCCTCATCATCACTGGTGACAGTGCGTCTGAGGTCTTCAGGTATGGGCTGGGTTGTATCAATGTAGGTGCTCCTAAGACTATTCCAGGTCTTAGCATCGATGATAGATGCTACCTTTGTTATGTCATCCTAGTGGGCCTCCACACTAACTTTTAGGCAGAGCTTGGTGATGAGACAAGGGAGGCAAACTGTGGTCTTTCTCATCTCCATCTTCAAGCTATTATAAATTAGGGGTACTGCATCAAAAGGAGTGTTCTTTATGATGCAATAGATTTGAACTTGCAGTGCCCAACTGGCAGTGGCCTCATGAGTGGAGGGAGTGATGTTGGAATTGGCAAATAAAGCCCAGAATCGGGCTTCGTCCCTCATGCTTCCTTTGCAGAGGGATCCTTTGGCGTAGGTGGGGTTCCTGATGGCTATTGTCTCCTTCAGGTCCCCCAGAAATCTGGCAACTTCCTTACTGTCTATGTACTTCTGGTATGGACATTTGGAGACAGTAGGAAAGTAGAGTACTTCCTTAATAGCAGCGGGGGAGAACGACATTTGCTTTCCCCTCACTGTGACCACATCAATGGTGTCTTATTGAGGCAGCCTCCTCGTCTGGTACAGAAACTCTCCCACCATTGAGACAATCATCTCACGGTCGTCAGTGGCAAAACGAAGCCACTTGAGGCTGTTCAGGGCCTTCTTCATGAAAGAAGGCAGGACAAGTTTTACCTGCTGCAAGGATATGTTTCTTTCTGGGTATAGATGGATGATGGGTTCAGTGAGCTCTGGTTCTTGGCCACAGCTGGCCACAAGACTCACTTTCACTGATAGCTTGGTCATCTTTTTAGCAGAAAGGAGGTTAGGGCACAATGCAGAAGGAGGAAAAAAATCTCTAAGTTAATGGGAAGTAGTAAAACTTGTAGAAAGGAAGGACTGAGTTTAAATAGACAATGGAGGAGGGAAAATGAAGAGTTTTCTGGGACGTGGAGGTTGAGGAAAGGAGGTGGAGTGGGTAGTGGAACGGGGACGTTACAGAACGAGTGGTCAGCAGTTAGTGGGCTGTAACTGATGATGATGAGTGTAAGGAGATGGAACGGTTTAGGTTAGAATGTGGGAAGGAGGGAAAAGGAAAAGGGTGCAGTTGCATTAATGGTTGAGGATACGGTTGCTTTTTGAGGGCATGTTTTCAAGATCTGCAATAAGTGGAAATTTGATATGGCTGAGCACCCTTTTTAGTGACTCAGCAGGGATAGGTGTGCCAATCACTCTTATCTCTTAACCCAGGGAACGTTTGCTTTGTCTTTTCTTTAAATAAATACAAATAAAAAAAGAGCATGTAATAAAGATGCTGACTAATTGGATGCAAATTTAATCTAATGAAGGGAAAGGGAACGTAATAGCATATCACATAACTAATTACTATAATTTATAACAACTGTTAAAATATATATATATATATATATATATATATATATATATATATATATATAAATGAAATGTTTTTTTTTAGAGAAGAGTTGGGATTATGTGGTTAGTGGATGATAACTCTCCCAAATGAAAGTTAATTTAGCATCTTTAAGATGAATTTATTGCATAAATTCCATATAAGTTGACCTCTTTGCATGATAATTGAGCTAATCGTTGCATATTCATGATTAAGTGCTTTGAGATGACTAAGTATGGAAAATAAGACAATATTCCTTGATTTTGTGTAAGAAAAGATGACTTGTTAAGTGTTTGTCTTCACAGGAAAAATTGACGTAGGAATGCTGTAGCAGAAAAGCTGACGGAGTAATTATACAGCAAGCGCTATAGCATGACAGCGTGGACAAAGGGACAACCGAACTTTTGAAATTCAAAAGTTAGTTATTCTCCAACCATACACCAGCATGCAAGGGAAGTTTCTGAAGATTTAATCTAGAAATCACAAGGGTCAAAGACAAATTCAAAGATTGAATCTTATCCAAATCCCAAAGAACAAGGACAACAACCTTGGTTCGGTCAACAACATTGGCACAAGAAATCCAAGAAGATAAAGATCTTATCCAAATAAGTGCCAACAAATCCGAAAATCCCAAGGAACAAGGACAACAAACTCAGCTCCTATTCGGTCAACAACAACATTGGCACAAGGATTCCAAGAAGATCAAGATTTTATCCAAGCAAGTGCCAACAACCCAAGAATCTAGGGATACGATAAGGCTGCAGCAACCAGATTCATGGATTTTCACTCTTAAACCTAAAGCCCAATTTCCCAACCATTTTTCCTATTTAAGAAGTGTTCCCCCACAGTTGAGAAAAAAAAAGGTTCGGAACACGGTTTGAAGGAGAGTTCAAAGAGGTTCTTGGAGGAGGAAGAGCAGTGTTGGAGCAGTGTTGGAGCAAGGCAGTGACGACGTTTTCCTACAACATTCGTTTCCATCTTCTTTTCTATTTTCCAATGTATTCTTTCTTTCTTTTCTCTGTTTTATTTAATTTCATCATGAGC